ACTTTGCCACAGTGGATTTTGCATAAATACTTGTTTTGATTTTTTTAAAAAATCTTATGCTTGTTTAATGGGGCCAAGATATGTTATGAATTTATATACTAAATTATTGAAATAAACATTGTAGCCAGTTAAAAATTAATAATATGTGTGCAAAACCACAAACTGGTGTTTCAAAGGGCCCTTCAGACCTGGCTCTTTGTCCAGGCCTTTGGCAAGTCTGATTGGAAGTCTCCTTTTCCTTTCTTCCCATCTGGGTTTGCTATCTCTGTCACCTTTGTTCCTTTTTTGTTTTGTGTTGTTTTAAATCTTTTTAACAATTTGTAAACCACCCAGAGTCGCTGGGAGTTGGGCAGCATATAAATTTAATAAATTATTATTATTGTTGCTATTATTATTATGCTTTTGTACAATTCACTAATTTCATTACATCTTGCACAAGAGATTATTCAATGGTTTATATATTGATAGTTAGCTTTTTTTTATCATCTCATGAATTATAAATGGGAAACTTAATGAAAACAATAAAATAAAGTTCATTTGTCATTATTATTTTGATCACATTGCAATGATTTCACTGAAGGTACACTGTGGCTTCTGATGGTAGACAAACAGTGACAAGGAATGTTTGGCAAATAGAACGTATCTTTGTGGTTATCCATTCTAGCCATAATACATGAGAAAGGCTATGTATCCTATTTAGATACATAGGATTCGAATTATGAATGTATATGCATATGAAATGTACTTTAAAATGAAAGTGAGCTTCTCAAACTATGCTCCTACGACATCTTCTTAGTCTTCTTCCAAGTTCAGTTTTTTGCAACCCTGAAACTTTGTTATATCTGAAGATGTAGGAAGTTATGGAATTCTGACACTGGGAATGGATGAGGGGAAAAAGCTTTAATCCATACAGGATAACACTATGAGTAAGGAAAGAAGATGGATAATACATCTAGTTGTAGAACTAAACATACGGCATGGGAGTGCATTTGGAGTTGAGGTTAACTGGAAAAGTTGTCATGGTGGTGGAAGCCAGAAGTACTAATTTATCAACTGTGACCCTATTCTAAGAGTCTTTCCTCTGCTATTCATGATCTAGTGATATTCAGGCTAGACAGTTGTAATGTATTCTGCATATGGCTGCTTTTAAAGATGATTTGGAATCTTCATTCTGTTCTCAGTTCAGCTGCCTGACTTTTGATGGGGCAGGCTCTCAACTCATATGACATCAATACTGAGTCAGTTATTAGTTCAAAGACTTTCTTCATCCATACCAACTTATTGCACTCATCAACAGGGAAACCTCTTCCTTGTCCACCATCAAGATCATCTAGGTTGGTGGGTACCCAACTTTTCACCAGAGGCTCTGTACCACTAGAGTGAGCATTCACTGAGGACTGGCCAGCCTCCTGTGCAGGCTTTAAGAATGACTTAATTTCCTCATTAATGAATAACCTTCCAGAAGTTGGTGAAGATGTTCTTTTTCAGGGGTATCATTCTTCCTTACTATTTTTATTAATTGCTGTTTTCACATTTCAGTTACTTAATTTTAAATATTTTTATTGCTGCTATTGTGCTTTTCTGATGCTGTTTGTATTTCTGTATTTAGACTATTTTAATAGCTGTTATGAGAATAGGCAAAATATAAGTATTTAGAAAAATCAATTTAAAGGCCCATTTATTTTCTTTTTCATTTTCTCAAACTGCATTTTGGGACTGCTGATCTTGCTTATAATTTTTTATTTATTTATTTGATTTTTTAATCCCACCTTTATTACTTTTATAAATAACTGAAGGCAGAGAATATACCTAATACCCCTTCCTCCTCCTATTTTTCCCACAACAACAACCCTGTGAAGTGAGTTGGGCTGAAAGAGCAACTGGTCCAAAGTCACCTATTTGCATTGTTTTAGTATACTATTTCTAATTATTATATATATGAACTGTGCCAAGGCACCAATTTTAAAGGTGGTCTAAATTAAACTGAAATAAAGGAAGTGATAAACAAGTAGTATGAAACAAAACTCCAAATCTCTCTTTTGCTCCAGAAATGTATTTTGGGAGTGGATAATTGGGAGTTGAGAAGTTGAGGAAGAGTTGTGAAGCTTAATCCTTCTATACTTGCTGATTTTCCAAGACCTTCCTTCAATCATAATGAATTCAAGATATACATACAGTCAGGTCCAGAAATATTGGGACATCGACACAAATACATACAGTCAGGTCCAGAAATATTGGGACATCGACACAAATACATACAGTCAGGTCCAGAAATATTGGGACATCGACACAAATACATACAGTCAGGTCCAGAAATATTGGGACATCGACACAAATACATACAGTCAGGTCCAGAAATATTGGGACATCGACACAAATACATACAGTCAGGTCCAGAAATATTGGGACATCGACACAAATACATACAGTCAGGTCCAGAAATATTGGGACATCGACACAATTCTAACATCTTTGGCTCTATACACCACCACAACGGATTTGGAATGAAACAAATACAATGTGCTTTAACTGCAGACTGTCAGCTG